AGATATCCAGCATGATATTTTTCCACATTGAAATCTTATGTGTTTTCAAAGTGTTCCTTCCTTTAAGTTTTTTGAGCCGCGTATAACACAACTATCGGGCCATTCAAAAACTTTGTGAGAAAAAGTGACTACATTTGACTACATTTGACTAATGCCTAGTGCACATGATCAGAAAATCGTATGAAAAAATATTGCTTTCAAAGCGATCGTACAATAATCTGACTGTTAGTACACATATTTCATCCAAAAATATTTGAAGGGGCAAGCACGAAAATTTTTCTCATACAATACCAGATCGCACGATTTTCTAGTTTAATCAGTACAGTTTTCCTCCGAAAATACAATACAAATACATTACATCACTTCTGAATTTTCTTTTTTCATACAAGAATTTTCGTAACTTTAGTAACCTTTTCACTTTCGATATGAGACTAGTGTGCACAAAAAAAAAAAAAAAAAAAAATGATCATTCATCCAATGTTCTCATTGTGTACGAGGCTTTGGGCTGCACATCTGCACAAAACCTACTGCACCATACCCAATAGACAGTATTTCAAGTGCCTAAAAATCTACATGGGTGCCAACGGCCACTGAATGGTTCTCCCGCCTTGGCAGGATCTCTACCATGTAGGAGTTAGTACATAATTCCCAGGATAGGTTGAAGAAATACACGTCTATATGGGCTTCACTTTAAATAATGGTTGTTTACTCTGAACTTATCAAGACTCAGTTGTAGCATATTGTAGGCTCTTTGGCTCTTCACCCTTCAGTAACATCTGACAGAGAGAGGGAAACCTCCAGAGAGGAATCCCAAAACTACTAATACACACCCTTTTTTTTTCTTTTTGTCCCTTTCTGTCCTCTTATGGCCCAACCTCTTATGCTGCTAAACAGGTTTCAAAGCTAATTAAAAAAAAAAAAAAAAAAAAATCACGTTAGAACAGGTTGTCATTCAATTTTTTGTGAAAAAAAATGACATCACACAAGTTATAAAACACAAGGTTTTTCATAAAATTTATTGTTTTGTTTCTTATATATATAGATCTGTATATAGGTACTTAAAGGAGAGGCTTTGTTTTGATCAGCAGCAAGCAAAACGTACAGGTTTGAGTTGGTGTGGTACGGCAGGTAACCCTTAGCTAATGCCCATTTGCGCATGGGTCGCGCACAGATTTTTCCGAGCACCTCCTTTCCTATGTGTACTGTAAGGCAGTGGGTTTATTTATATTTTTTCTATTTTTAATACAAGATTATTTATTTTATTCATATTGTGAGTTATGTCACATGCAAATTAAAATTTAAAAAAAAAATCTTGCCTCCAGACAGCACAGCAAAGCGCCAGCAAAACATCATTAAATTGTCAGTCTCAAACATAGCATGAGGGCAGCCATTTTGTGAGCGGAACCAAGTCGTCCTGAGAAAGCAGCTTATCAATTCACTAGGAATCTGTGACATCAACAAGGCAGGAAGTAATAGCACAAACCTGATACTACAAAGCACTGGTACTATTAAAATAAGAAGTGGTCTTTGAAATTGAATGTGCCTGAAGAACTGTTAAAATTTCCCCTGAATGGTTCTGATTGGTAATTGTATGTAACAATTCTACCTCCAAAATCTTACAAAATGGCTGCTTTCACCATGTTTAATCAACGTTCATGCATCTGGAAGTAAATCTGAAAAAAAAAAAAGTACAACTTATAGAGTGTGTTATAGCCGGAGTAGCAGACTATTTTTGTGTTGGTGTAGTTGAGTGTTTTTTTTTTATTTGCTTATCTTCCTGGAAAGCAATAAAGTTTTAAGCTTCAAGACAAAAAACACAGACACAACTTTAGAAAGTGAAATGACAATAACAGCAATGAGGACTCCCTGAATAAGGAGCAGATTCATAAAATGGTATTCTTTTTTTTCTTATAGGCTGAAACCAAGATCTGGGAAGATACTTTGATGGTAATTTATAAAAAGGTAGTGATCCTTAGGGCTCTTTAAAGATGCAGTCCCTTGAACACCAAAAATAAGTGGTAGCAAAAAAAAAAAAAAAAAAAATTTGCTAAGCCTTCATGTCTCAAAAATATAACACAGATATGTCTCCAGAGGGCAAGATGCCAGCAGGAATCTGCCACACCCTATGGATAATAGATTGCTGCCCAACAGGGTCAAATGGGGCATCCATGTTTGTGTAGCTTTACACCAATTGGAAGCAAAAATGTATGAAGTGCCTCAGGTGTCTCTCAAAACATTCCTCCGTTTTTTGTGGGACACAAGAAGCTCATCATATATAGATGCTTCCATTTATAGTCTTGAAGTCAAGGTTGTTCCACTATCTTTCGCCCTCTCTCCTTTTCTAGTTTTTGTCTATAGGGGTTTGTGATGGGGATTTTTTGTTGTGGGGTTGGTTTTCCCTGTGGAATGGAGTTATAGCTTTACACCAATTCTATTTCTCAAAGTGTCTGTCATTTTGATGATCAGCCAACCCACTGATACGTATCTTCACGATGCTCCCCCACTGCTCCTTCCAGTGCTGCCAGGTATGGCCATGTGACCTCTGCCCACAAGGTAGTCCTTTGGCCTAGTGGCCATTCTTCCGGCCTTATCACATGATAAAGGGAAGTGACATCATCAATTGCTATGCTTTTCGGCAGCTAAATGAGAGGTCCGGGAGCACTTTGAATGGCAGTATAAAAGGGTCAGAGGCTGGCCATAAAGTGACTCTACCACAGTCTCTTTAACCAAGTTCCTACTTTAAGGTCTAAGCAATAAGACCAAGAGCAATATACAAAAATGCTGTAACCTTAAAAACCAGCCAACAATCATCTTGCATTATTCTGACTGTCCTGGACTGAATATTAAATGGGGTTAAATCTGATTGATGTGGTTTTGCTCTCTGCTTTTAGTGATTACATTAGCATGTATGTCACTCATGTACAGTATTGTGCAGTGCAGCTTTATTCCAAAAAGGTTACAAAATGTAGGCATTGTGCACAGTTCTGCATTTCCCAGCCTTGGGGAGAAACATCAAAATAGGCAGTTGCTTTATTAAAAAAAAAAATAGAGGTGTTGTTTAGACTGCATTTAAGTGACTGCAAAAACCAATATCTAATCATTTCATTTGTTTTTCATAAAGCCAGAGAGAAGGGATTTTATAAAATAAAATTGCATTAAAAAGAAAAATCAGCAATTGTAGAGTCACATATCACTATCAAATTTGCATGTAAAAAAAAAAAACAAACAAAAAAAAAAAAAACAAGTGACAGAGACACTCCACCAGTTCCTCACTCTAACATGTTTCGCCTCCTACTGGGGTTTCGTTGTAGAGTTGACGTCTCTGCTGCTGCTTGTTTGATAAAGTTGAACCCAGAGCTTCGCGGCACCCACCACAGAAGAAGGGTGGTGGGTACTTGAGAGAAAATCTGGGAACATGAGTAAACTCAAAAACAAAGAAAAAAAAATACCACCTAAATGAGCAATGCACGTCATCCTGGTGTTCTGAAACTGCCTCTGTAAGTTGCCAGGAACAGGACTACTTAAAAGGTCCCATACACACTGCTTGAAGTGGCAACAGACAGCGTTGCCTATTTGGCATGCCATTTATAGCATTCTGACCATACGGTGCATCCTCATTCACAGACACTTTGTTAATGCACTCCCGCAGCTAAAGTTGGTCTCCCCACCTTTGCAAATCATCTCTCCACCTAACTATTGATGGGCGGCAGTGGACTAACTCCATTGTCCTGCATCTCTGTGAGATTCCAGATCTGTTGGGAGGTCTCATTCCCAATGCACCAGGGAGTCTTCAGGTTCCTGTTGCAGTATGTTTAATGTAAAATAAATCAACCATGCAATGGGAAGAGTACAACCCTTCTCATAATCACAGCAGCAGACAGGTGAGGATTCTAATGCATGAGTACAACAAAATTATAATAATATATATCCCTAAAACATCAACATCTCCTCTAAACAGAGGCATCATTTTAAGATGACTGACCCTTTAAAACTCATGTCTCGTGCATTTTATGGTCAGGACACTTTAAAGGGCTGAAGTAAATGAAGGCAACTCCATTTGCCACAAGCAGTATGTACAGGTTCTAATTGTAAAGCTTTCCATTCTTATGGCCAGGTACAGGCCAGATTGTGGATACATTCATAATTGATCACAAGCTCTGTGATTTTGTACTGAAATGACAGGAAATTTGACTTCTGGTCTGTAAATGTCCAGCAAGGAAAGCCAATGGTCTATCAGAAACCTAGGGTCCCATTGTCTCTTTGAAGTTTTTCAGCTCATCTGTATACTGTTAATGTGTGGAATGTATGTTGGCTGGCAGGAACTACATGATAATAGGTCTGGGATCTAAGAAAAACCGATCCCCTACATGTAGTATTTGGTACTTGCAGTCTACCAGACTTATTTGTTAAGGCAGTGTAAACCGCAACGATGGCATGGCACTGCATTACAACTATTCAGCCCAATTATCATTAACTGCTATTCAGTCTTTGCAATTTGGTACTGTCTTGTTAAAACAAGCTTGCATGAGCTTATGATGTATAAATAATTCGGACCTTCGGATTTTAAGTGCAGCCATCGTCTTTGCCAAACAAAAGCAGCTACTTTATGACTTGAATGGACTTTCAAGTTTAGCAATTCACTGGTGACATCACTAAGCCACAAAATATCTACTTCCTCTATGAAGGCATGACAGGTACACTTAAACTGCTCAGTATTATTAAGAAAAGAGACGTGACCTACATAGGTTGACTGAGGATCACTTAGAAGCAGTCCTGTTATGATGCCCCCTTTCGTTGTCAGAGAAGACTGGTGTTAAAGCCACTGCAGTCTTCTCTGGCAGTGCTGAGGGGGTAATGTGAAGACTTAACTGGTCACCCCACTGCTGAAGCGGTCCTTCTCAATCATACTGACTTCTGCAGCAGTGAGGGTAGTGTCAGTTGAAAGGAAGAGGAGGATGATGGTTTTGGAGATCTTTTGTCAGCCTGTCCCCACTACATGTTCATTCGATCTTCAGCAGCTCCACATCGAAGATCAGAGTAGCATTGGGGGGTATGACTCCTGGATGCCCCGTGGCTCCATATGCAACGTCAGGTGTGCAGGTCAGTTTTGCTCGCTGGCCCAAGCTCATCTGGAGACACAAAGAAAGATACGTTTTGAACTATGCAGAGTCAATGGACTGTATTGTTAATGCCTAAGCTTAAAATTCATAATTATATATGTACAACAGTGGCAGTCAAACTTGATCCTTCCATGTGGAGCCATGCTTAGTGATTAGCAGTACTGTACATTGATTTGGCTTTACTACTTCTTTATCTTCAAGATTGTAAGCTCCAAAGAGCAGGGCCCTCAATCCCCTCATGTTTTGCATTGTATTGTTATTGTTCTGTCACATATTCTGTCCCCCTTTGTAATGTACAGCGCTGAGCAAACTATTGGCGCTTTATAAATACTGTATAATAATAATAAATAATAATCAGCTGAAAACAACAAATGATCTTTGGGGTCAGTCAAAAAGACAATCACAATAGCTACTGTATTTTAAAGGATATATATTTATATTTAAATTACACTTATCCATCCTTTCTTAAACCTCTTGACACAAATGACCCACGCCAACAATATTTACAGCCTGCGGCCCTAATGTTCTCTTTGCTGGCCGCATCTTTGCAGTCCATCCCCAGAGACATCTATGGGAAATTCAGCTGCAAATCAAAAGCACCTTTTAGTGAATTATTTTAATGAACTCTGAATAATCTCACATGTGGCAGTCGATCCCCATAGACAGCTATGCGAAAGTCAACTGATGTCAAATGTAAGAGGAATGCATGTGCCCATGCGTTCGCCTTTGCGTATGAGCATTGGGGGAGGGGGGGGGGGGAGTCATGGCACTTTGAATACATTTTTTTTATTACTCTGTCACTTTACATTTTTTTTTTTATCACTTCTATTGCTGTCACAAGCAATGTAAATATCCCGTGTAACAGGAATAGACACAGGTATTTACATGGAGGGATCTCTATGAGACCCTAAATCCCTCCTCTGCACTTGAAAGCATTAAAAGCACCTAGATTGGTGTTTTTGAATGCTTTCAGATTTTTAAAAATGGCGGCAAAGGTTTCCGAGTAAACCAGAAGTGATGTCAGTTGATGTCAGATGTACCACAAAGGAGAGTTGATCAAAACCGATTCCAATGTACTGGCTGGTCGCTCAGGATTTCTGGTGGGATGGGAGATCCCAGAGAGTGGCAGGAGGGGGGACGTCCCCTCCTGTTGCTTGTATAAGCAATCGAGCAGCTAGTAGCCGCTCCAACTGCTTGTACAAGAGAGCCAGAGCTAAAAAAAAAACAGTATTAGGGTGATTACTCCGTTACAACCACCGAAAGTACAGCAGTGGTGCCCATGAAATAATTTTCAGATCTTGGGGACTCCAGCTAAATATTATTATTGCCAAAGCTTATGATACATTTGCATGATCGCTAAGTTATAGATATAATAATAAATTTTAAAAAATAAGGAATGTGAAAAACTTGACACCTAGTGGATCATTTTTTAATACCCACTGCAGTATATGATAAAATTATGTAGTGGTCTTTTGCATTGATGGTCAGTGAAGAGGCTCTACCTTACATTGGCAGTCAGTGTAAAGATCTCCATTACGTCAGTGGTCAGCACAGAAGTTCTCTCTTACGCTGGTAGTCAGCTCAGAAGCTCTCCCTTACACTGGTGGTCAGCGCAGAAGATCTCTCTTGCACTGGTGGTCAGAATAGAAGATCTCCCTTGCACTGGTGATCTCCTTTACACTGGTGGTAAGTGTAGAGGATCTCCCTTACACTGGTGGCCAGCAAAAAGGTATTCCCTTACACTGGTGGTCAGCGCAGAAGTTCTCCCTTGCACTGGTGCTCAGCGTAGAAGATCTCCCTTGCACTGGTGGTCAGCGTAGAAGATCTCCCTTACACTGGTGGTCAGTGAAGAGGTATTCCCTTATACTGGTAGCTAGCACATAAGTTCTCCCTTACGCTGGTGGTCAGCGATGAAGATCTCCCGTGCACTGGTGGTCAGCGATGAAGATCTCCATTGCACTGATGGTCAGAGTTGATGATCTTGTTTATTTATTTCATGTATTTATTTATTTCAGGTACTTATATAGCACCGTCAATTTACGCAATATACATATATATTGTACATTCACATCAGTCCCTAACCCTCAAGGGGTGTACAATCTAGGGTCCCTTACTTACATTCCTACATACACATACAAGGGCCATTTTAGACAGGAGCCAATTAACCTACCAGCATATCTTTGGAGTGTGGGAGGAGACAGGAATATCCACACAAGCACAGGGAGAACATGCAAATTCCAGGTAGGTGGTGCCATGGTTGGGATTTGAACCAATGACCCTAGTACTGCCAGGTGGAAATACTAACCACTTAGCCACTGTGCTGTCCACTGGTGGTCAGCGTACAAGATCTCCCTTACACCGGTGGTCAGCGAAGAGGTATTCCCTTACACTGGTGGTCAACATAGAAGATCTCTCTTTTACTGGTAGTCAGCGTAGGAGATCTCCCTGGCATTGGTGGACAGCATTTATGATCTTCCTTACACTGGTGGTCAGCGTAGAAGATCTCCCTTGCACTTATGGTCAGCGTTTATGATCTCCCTTACAATGGTGGTCAGCGAAGAGGTATTTCCTTACACTGGTTGTCAGCATAGAAGTTCTCTCTTACACTGATGGTCAGTGCCCCTTACATTGATGGTCAAAGTACTAACCATTTACTTTCATGGAAATTTGAGAAGTTACAGTTACCTCGGGGGGTCAGTGGCAAAGAATATTCCTTTATGGACAGCTAAAAAGATCATTGGCATCAGAGAATACTTACTTGTGAGATGAGATGACAGAGTCCTCTAGTCCCACATCCCTGTCCCTGCCAAATTAGGTCAGTGTTGAAGCTATGCAGCACATTCTGGCCAGAAGCCAATCATCCACTTCTCAAGGAGCCCCCTAGCAACCCCATCGCATGCTCTAGGGTCTCAAGAACCTTAACCACTTTGTCTGCTCTAAAATATCTTAATGGCAGCAAGCTAAAACGAACCATTTCCACCAGAGAATAATTGTCAACTCAAAGAAAAGCATCAGAGAACAAGATGGACAATGCACATCTACTAAACGGATCATTGCCCCACTTCCCAAAGAGCCCTATCAGAAAAACAGAAACAAAGTCCTAACTATGCAATGCCACAGTGTCCACAAACATGTACAGCGTCTGTCAGAGGCATTCCAGGAATGACATAGAGTCTGTGTCAGTGTCAGCTAGAGACTGGATTATGAGAAAACTGTGATGAAAATAAACACAGAGACGGAGGGGGTTGTAAAATCTTCTGTATTAACATTTAAAAATAGCACCCTCATTTATAAAACTGCCACTTTCAGTAACAGCAAGCCAGTACATGTCTGTAAATATAGACGATAAATTACTTTTATGCTGTATACCTCAGTATGAAAAAATAATCTCAGGGAAAACAAGCGGGCAAGGGATATGCATTACAGTCATCTCACTAGAAGACAAAATTGTTGTCTTGTTTTAAGTATAAGCGGAATAAAAATGGGGACAAGGACATGACTACCAAGTTCACTCTCCATTACTTATGAGAGGTCCAAAAGTTCAAATAATTTTATGTAAAGAACTCCCAGTAGATTTTATGTAGAAGTCACCAAAATGTATCATACACTTACTTCAAATATATTTGCAGGCAAAACTGTTTTTTCCAGCCTTAGAAAGAGTGCAGAATGGTCAGAACCTCTTTCAGTTTATGCTACTTTCTGTGTTCCCATAAGGGAGATTGTCCTCATTTCTTGTAGGGGCGGATGAATGGCGAGAACCTCTCTCAGCTTTCATTGGCATCTTTATTTTTACTACTAATTTTTCCATACCTCCTGTCCAGGTGACACTTAATGATTCTGTCTCTTCTTATGGAAACAAGAGAGCCCTCTGCAAAGGCAACATCTAATACTTAAATCTCTTGGTGCCTGCAGCTGATCTCTGCAGTAGTCAACCTAGATGGACTTGTTGTGTAGTCCATGTGGTCACGGAGAATTTGTCAGTACAGCAGCTTTTTCAGTTCATATCTGGAGACTTGAAAGGGTAAAAATGTTTTATGTGAATGGGTGAAGCATTTATATTATTATTATTATTATACAGGATTTATATAGCGCCAATAGTTTGCTCACCGCTTTACAATATAAAGGGAGACAATACAGCAACAATACAGTTCAATACAAGAGGGATAGGAGGGCCCTAGAAATAAGATTTGAACACAGGTATACAGTATCCTATTTCTATTGCATTGCAGGTCAGTTGGCAGACCTAAACCTGTAGCTCTCCCCCAACTTCTGTTTATTTGACGTATATTGACACTATATCCACTAGAGCATTTGCATTTTGCAGAGCAGGCTAGGGACTGGCCATAGGACGACATAGTTGTTCAGCTTAAAGGTGTGTTGCAATATGTGTGAAGCAAAAATCCATATTTGCTAGAATATCACAGTATGCAGAGGGTTCATCCAGAATTTTTAATCATTTTGCAGAGCTCTTAAAGATATGGCCAGGGGTGTGTTTACCACAAGGCAAACAAGGCATTTGCCTAGGGCGGCATTTTTCAGGGTGGGGGGGCAGCACTGCCCCTTGGAAGAAGGGACGAAAGAAGGGACACACGCAGCATGGGGACCTGGTGGGTTCCGAGAGATGCTGTGGGTTTCATGACGGTGTATGCACAGCCTGACTCTCGTTCCTGAGGATGTCCAGAGCTGTAATGGTGAGTGTCTTTCTCTCTCTCGCCATGAGAGATGGTGGGTGGTGTATGGGGGGCAGTGGTAGCTGAATGCTCAGTTGGAGGGTAGGGGTGTTCTTGGTCAATGTCAGGCTCTTTCTGCGGGGGGGCGCCAATTTTTGTGTTGCCTAGGGCAGCACAAAACCTAAATGCACCACTGGATATGGCCACTTTATTAGGCACACTTGTTCATTTGCTTGGTAACACAAATTGCTAATCAGCCAATCACATGGCAGCAACTCAATGTATTTAGGCATCTAGACGTGGTGAAGATGACTTGCTGAAGTTAAAATCGAGCATCAA